ATCCATTTGTTGTGGGGTTTTTGGTTGCTGAGTTTCCGCAAATGATATTGGGAGGAGAACCAACGCCATCCACAGGTGAATCTTGCTACTTACCCAATAGCGAGGACTCAAAACTGTTGGAATTACAAACATATGACAAGGGCCAGTCAAACGAGATTTTATACTTCACTACTGAACAAAGATTGAATGCTGAGAATATTTCTCGTTCTATTACAATGGCCTATGTCATGGATCAGGTTATTTTCAGAATATTAGAGTTTTATATTTGTTTATTTACTAATATGAAATTCTTTTTTGTTGGATATTTATCTCTACATCTCTGCATTTCTGTTGAATAGTTAATTCATCATAAAAACTAGGCCAAAAAAACTTCACTGTTCTCATTCCTCACTGACTCGTAGTGTCATATCTAGAATTGCACATTTGGCTTCTCCATAAACAAGGTCAAAACATACTTGCTTTGTTCAGGCATTGTGTAGATGGGCATGATTAGTATCACAATTACCCAATTATTTTAAAAAATTTAAATAGGAGTTTCTGGTGTATTTAAGCTTTTTGATTAGCACCAAATGGGATTTGATCCTTGTTAGATGGCAATATCTAATAACCTGAAAGTTGGACTTCACTGACAAGAGATGCATCCATACTGCAAAATAGGATGTGATAATTGAATCTGAAGACCCTTGTTGTTTCCTTTGTATTTTACCTCTTGTAACGAATTTTTTCAATCTTGCTGTTCAGAAAGCAATATTGCTCCAGCACTCATCTTGGCAAAATAACGTGAGAATGAGTAGCTTGGTTGAACAAGTAAGACATTGTCCTGGTGTTAATTTTCTTGTTTGTCGTATGAAATTTAAAACTTCTATTGGTTCATGATGATCTCCTATACTCAGATCCGGGGATCACTATCTAGCATTCAGACCTTGAGTAAAATGCTATCTGTTCACATGAGGAGAAGTGAGGTACGTTTTCATCATCTTCGTGGAATTTACACATTGACCATCACATAGTTGTTTTTATACGTCTTTTTAGCTTTCTAACATAGCACTAACATGAGACTGCAGATCTCCTTTGATATTGTTCAAGACATTTTAGTCCAAGGTGATCATATTAAAGATGTCCTTCAACAACTTCAGGATGCTGTTTACCTGACTAAGGTGGGTCATCTATCCTTCATCAAGCATGCATTCAGTTTTCCAGCTTAATATGGGAAAAGCCTATCTTACAATGGTTTCTTGTCCTGTTGTGAATTTCAACAAGTAATCAAGCATGGGGTTTGGTTCGTGAATTGAGCTATTAGTATAGCTTATTTCTCCCTATCCTTCCCAGCCTGGATGGAGTTAGGCCTTGCATTTTAACTTGTTTGCAGGATCTGTCTGTGAAATGCATTTTATCCTAAAATATTGTGGCCTTTAATTTATGTCAGCAATGTGTTTATATGTACATGAGCTCATACTCTCTTTTTGAATCCTGAAACTTCATATGAAAGGTAAAAAGGAAAAATCTTTGCATTTTCTTCTTGAGAAGACTCCCCGACCTGAAGTTTGATGCAGTGATTGCTTTATTTTCAAGGTTAAATTCCTGATTCTATTGAAGCTGTCATGCTAAATTTGCTAATAGTTTTAGAATAATTTCTGATAGTCATATGGATTTTCCAACTGTTAGCTTTTTGTTCTTCAGGCTAACATAATTCATAATAATGGAGGGTTGAAGAAGATGCACGCTCCAACTTATGGTGCCTCTAACTCAATCAATGAAACACTAGAATCTTATGAGGCATTATCTCTCAATTCAACATCCAAGGATTCAGAAATTCCCATGCCACCCCTTGCACTCGCACCTTTAAAGCAGAAAGCAGTCAGGTATCCTTTTTCAGTGCAGAAAACTCTTTATCAATTTATATCGTTACCTGGTTTCTAGTTTCTAATAATGCATAATGGCAATGCTGGTAGATGTTGAAAGATGGACCAGAAATAGGATTTTGTTTCACAAAATCATTCCCGCTCTTTCTGGACTTGTATGGAACATTAAGTACTTTAATAACCTCAACTTTGAATTGGGCCAAACAAACTAAAATTTTGAATTGTTTTTGTCTTGGTTTTGGTCCCTTAAATTTGTAAAGTTGGGTACCTTTATGTTTGGTGCTGATTGTCACTGATTTGTCCTTTTGATTTTTATTATAGACAGCCCGTCATTCTCTTGGAGTCTTTACTGTATTGAACTAGTTTTTACATAGTCCAATCAGATTTTGGTTGTTCATCAATGTTATATATCTGAAATTTTATAATTAATCCTTTTCAAGTTATTTTAAGTAGTGCACTATTTGCTTGCATCAGACGGCCATGCAATGTTTCTGATGTTCTGAATGATTTGGTTGCGGGTGTGGAACATCTGGCTCATATGCAGCAACGATATTTAAAGGTATCTGAACTATCTAGGCCTTTGCAAGTTGCTGTTGAAGAGCCTGCTTTACGGCAGGCCTTGAGCAACTTAATTGAAGGTTCTTTGTTGCGAACACAAGTTGGTGGGAAGGTTGAAATCGTGTGCACAGGAGCTCCAGCAGGTGGTGCTCTTATCATAATTGATGATGATGGCCCTGACATGCACTATATGGTACTGCTTTGCATCTTTCCTAAATTACCAAAGTTGCTTGACTTTTGCCACTTTTGGTGTTTGCCTTCTTTATACCTTGTAGCATTTATGCCAAAAAAAAAAAACTGAAATTTATTACGAAGAAGCTAAAAATGGCGAGTGTGATCAATATTGATCTTACCTCGACACGTGATATTTTTTTTACTATTCTTGGTCCATTTGCTTGCAGACCCAGATGCATTCCCTCACACCGTTTGGGATGGATCTGTTTTCTGACGACAAGGTTGAGGATAATATGACGTGGAATTTCATTGCTGGTCTGACTGTTGCTCGGGAGATTTTAGAAACTTATGGATGTGTTGTCCGTGTAATCTCACCAAGAACCTCTGACGCGAGTATTGGAGCAGGGGGAACCCGTGTAGAGCTATGGCTTCCATATGTAACTTCACCTGATGCAGATGCAGTTGATCGGGTGATATGAGGGGTTAAAGACCTCTTGTTATCTTCTTTCATCAAGTAAATCAATGATTGCATAAAGTTCGACGAGAGTGCATTGGTGTGTTTGCGGCCTAGTAATGTGAGTACATATTACCCACCAGATAGACATATCCAGTACTTCTTCATTGTGCAGCTGAGAAACTGTTGTAATAGATATAGCATGCATTAGAAGATGCATTCTGTATTCTTACGAATTGGTGGCTAAGGTTGCAAATTGAGAAGATGAATCTTTGAATTGGATAGTGCGTGTGAAAGTCTTAATCATGACATTTGGTGACTATGTCGACATTCTCCATGCCAAAAAAGCCCATATTTTATCTTTCAGTGGCAAGGTAAGAAAAAGGGGATATTTTTTCTGCTTATTCTCTATTATGTGCCTTTAGTGCACAAGATAAATTAAACGCACCATAAATGGAGGCTGGGTTCACTTTTTAAAGTTACTATTCTCTATTATTACCACCCTCTTAATTTTTTTCAACAGCCTGAATCAGACTTTTGTTGTTTTATAAACCTAATCCCAGAATTAACCTCAAAAGCCGGCAACTCTTGAGGCAATCCCAGGGACTTATATCCCAACCCAAACCCAACCCCAACCCCGATGTGGGACTTATTACCACCCTCTTAATTGCGCGTACTTTTTAACACCATTTCATTTATTCTGCACCCTAAAGGCAACTGCTTGCTTGCAGCCTAAATTCCAGATGACTTAGAAATACAAATTCAGGACGGCTCCACTGCCTACATGTCAGGTGACTTAGTGCATCATTTGCCAGTTTCTTGGCTTCATTTCCAGAGGTTGCCTTAAGTACCATCCATCTTCATGGTCATCACCCTTTTCCCTAGTATAGGACCAATTGTAATTGTTATTTTTTTTTAATAAAAAAAAAAAAGTAAGTTGAGGACTCGCAGCAGAAGCTTCCCACAGTAAATGTAGAGCATTCGTTGCTGTTACTGCTGGGTGATGACTATCCATGAGTCGATATGGGCACTCTGGAGTCTGCAGTCTGCACTAAGGAATTAGAATCTCTTAGGGTCCGTTTGGTTGGACAGAAAATATTTTCCCTAGGGAAAATATTTTCCATCGAAGTCATTTTCCTGAAAAATCACTTCCTTCTCCATAATTTTCCGGTGTTTGGTTATTTAGTGAAAATATTTTCCAAATTCCTTTTTTCATAATTTTCCGGTGTTTGGTTTGTCAGTAAAAATATTTTTTGACTTCCTTTTTTAATGTTTGTTGGTATGTTGCAAATATTTTTCTATTCTCAAAACATTCATCTTGTTTTTTAGCTTCTATCCATTATAATCATATTATCATTTTATAAAATATTTATTCAAATTACACCATGAATTCTTAAATAAAATTATTAATGACACTAATGAATTAGTTTTTGATCTTCCTTTAAAAAAAAAATCATTAAGGGGGTGAAGTGGATTCAATACAATTCATTGTGTAAGAAAATGGACGATTTTGATTGGACATGGGAAAAGGATGCTTGCTTGTCCTATTCATACCACTAGAAAGTAACCATCGAGACCCAAATTGTAGCTGTCTAGCATCAATTAACATGCCCCTACCATTTGGCTCAACATTAAACTGTTTTGCTATTGACACTGATAAGCAGACACTTTGTTAACTCGTCTGAGCATCAAGCAACCATACTAGCAGTCAAGATGCTACGGTATTGAGTTCACAACACAGAAAGGCAAGGATCATAGCGTACAATACTGCAGCAAGTATCAATCAGTTTTATATGTAGATCACAACATGAAGACCTATAAGAAGGATATAGAATGGGTAGAAAAGCTCTGTTCTGTTCACTATGTTATGAGGTAGCCAAATTAACCGGGATTGCGTAAGAGAATTGGGACGTTATAAACCAGCAAAGAGGAAGAAAGGGCCAAAAACTATGTATTAGAAAGGAGCCTTTCTGCAGTTTCAAGCACAATAAAATACCATAAACAACCAGAAGGCGTTAGCTAATATGGACAAGAATTAACAAGGCAGCAATAGTTCCAACCACCAAACATATATTTACAACAATCATGTATACAGGATTTGTTTTTGCAAATATAAGCAAGGTTGTGCTTTGAATTCCCTAAGCAAAGGTCACAAATCTGTGGAGCCTTTTCTGGAAAGGGCAAGACTTGCTTGGGCAAGCTGATTGAAGCATGAGAACTACCAAGATGTAGGTGCACTGACACCCTCCTGAAGATGATGTTTGCCACTTGGGGTGGGGTGGAAGCCAGCCCGTGTTGCCAGCAGTGTGGCCTTCCAAAGATTGAGCTTCACCTGGTATGACATTAGTCCGTCCCTTCCTTACCTTTGACCTGCTAATCTTTTTGCCAACAAAAAGGCCCAGCTTCATAGCAGTAAATAGACCCAAAGCAATCAGAAGTGGCCGGACTGCCCAGTGAAAATCCTCAGGGTGCTGATACTTTTTCATCACTCCAGGAGAAGTGCTAAAAGAAACACACTGAACTTCAGATGGATCAGCTAAAAAGCTGCTATTTTCATTACCAAATGTCAACCTACCAGGAAACCTTCAGCCTTCAATCGGACCCAATCTCCAGCAGCAAATCCATAACTTACACGTTCTAGTGGGCATCTGCCGACGAGTCTTCAATCGATGGTCTTCAATCGTTGAGAATGGGCGTCTGCCGTAGTGGAAGAATGCCTTTAGGCCGTGCTTTCAAGAAAGGAAAATAACTTCAGAATAACAGGTAAGGAAGTTATTTTCCTTCCCTCGGCGTAAGTTATTTTCCATCAGAAATCATTTTCCCAAATTAAATTGTATCCAAACAGTGAAAAATTAGGAAAACATTTTCTGGAAAATATTTTCCAGTCCAACCAAACAGACCCTTAGTGCAAGGAAAAGCCCATGTGTCTTGTAAGGTTGTGTTCAGACGAAGGAAAAAGGGAAGAGGAAAGTAAATTACACCTTTTTTCGCACAAGTGCATTTGGCCCCATAACAGTCTGAAATCTGTTGTTTAGTGAAACGCATAGCACACTTCTTCATCTTGCAATAGTCAAGAAAATGAAAAAAAAAAAATCCTTTTCTCTTGTACGAACGAATTTTCTTTTTCAAAGAATAAGTATATTGTTTGAGTACATAATTCAGATAAGTATTTATTGTATGTGTAATTTGAAAACTTTTAAATATGTTTATCTCTTTATTTAGTTCATAAAATAGGATAAATTAATTAAATTTAATATTTTATTTTTTAAAATCCAAAAGCTATTTTAAAGGGATACTATCAAAAACCTCCCCTAAGGTTTCTCTTAATATCACTTGACACCCCCATGGTTTTAAAAATATCATTTACCTCTCTTACTTTTGTTATTCGTGTAACAAATTTTTTAAAAACCCTAAACTATCCTTTCACTTGCTAAATAAAAAAATTTCTAAACCACTTTGTTCACTTCAAGAAAATCATCACCTCAGAAACAATCACTTGTAGTGCTACCGCATCACAATGCTATGTCCCATAAAAATATAAATTTAAAAAATAAAAAAGATATTTGAAAAGAAATACGCTTGCATCAATTTAATTCTATATGGTCAAAATCGATTTCTTATGAATTTATATTTTTTTCCAACATCTTCTCAATCCTTGCTCAAATCATTAAACTACATCAATCATTATAAAAATCAACTCAAAATAAGCAAATAAATCATATCCCACTTTACCATAATTATAAAAAGTAAAAGATAAACAAAAATTGATTTATTATAATTTACAAATAAAATACTTCATAGTTATCTAAAAAATATGAGTAAGAGAGAATGATGGAGAGGAGGGAAAAAGAAGAAAATGACTTTCGTTTTTTTTTTTTTAAATTTTTTTTTTTGAGCTCCGTTTATTTGATATGTTGTGAATAATGTGTCAAGTAAGGGTTGCTATAATCTTTTTACGATTGATATGAGAGGTAAGTGATATTTCTAAAATCTCAAGGGTGCCAAGTGATATTAATAGAAATCTCAAGGGAGGTTTCTGATATTATCCCCTATGTTAAAAGTACCAAATTTGAACTAAAAATGCCTCAAAATCACTTTTAGCATCCAAAAATATTTTGTTTTAATCAAAAAACATCTCAACCCCAAATATAGTCCAAATGTGTTTAGTAATTGAAACATCTTGAATTACGTTTACTTTCCTCCAAACCTTAAGAATTAGAAGAGTTCACGCCCCCAAACATCTGGGACCAAAATTACAATTCCCATTTGTGCGGTTGGGTCTACCAAACTTCTACTTGGCGACGCGCATAGATCACCGGCGGCTGCAACGGCCAACCCCTAACCGCGTCAGCGGTCAATATTCTCATTATAAACTAATTGAAAAGTCAAATACTTTAGAACTCAGCGTGAAGACTCGTGACATTAACATTTGACCCGTAAATACAGCTCTATTATTAGGCCATCAGACACTACTGAATGCTGTCGAGACTATTTTGGATAATTCAATGAAACCATAAGATGGGAATTTAGTCTCAATTAAGCATTAATGGCAAAGGCAATGGGACTGGAGGGGTTCGAAGTCTTCTTCTACGTTTAATGCTAGGTTAATATATATTAATTGGTACGAACAAATTGGTTTATTTTTATGCTGAAAAAGCGTTACAGCTCCTTTTATAGCACAACATTAATTCATCATCACTTTGTTGAAGTTCTTGTCAACAAACAAAATGATTTGATTTGTCTTTTAAAATACAATACAGAGGAATTTTACTTTACCAAAAAGCTTCAATTCCGTCCCAGATTCCTTATTTTGAATTTGTAACGCAAATAAAATATATATTTTTTCCAAATACATATATCCAAATTAATTCCGATTCATAATCAAGATTAACATGGAAGAAATTCGAGTGTCCTAGCTAAAATAGGAAGCATAATCAAATGCAGAGTACCTGAGATATTAGATATTAGTAGTAGATTGCCGGGTAGCTGAGCCAATGGATGCTGAGCCACTGGATGCTGGGCAGGGCATAAGAATCCAATCTTAAAAACGTCAAAACTTTAAGCTCGTCCAATAGGAAACAACTACATGGTTCATTTGCACCTGATTTGCCGGCCTTTCTGGATTGCCCTCCCTTATTCTTGTTTTCCTTTTTTTTTTTTTTTTTTTTCTTTAAAAAATAAATAAAAACAAGTTCTGGTACTTTACTTTGTTTGAATTCTGTTGTTTTCATTGCGGTATATTTGTCTTTAACTTCTCCGGAGATAACAAGCTACAAAGTGAAAACCAAACTGTAATGCCTTCCCTTTTTCCGCTGTTTATGAGTATTATTATATCTTTGTGCTTGTTTACGTATTTTTTAAGTTTTCCAAGCTCCCCAACAGGCGTCAAGCTAAAAATGGTTGTTATTGAGGAAAATTCATTAAACCCAAAATCCAGTGGGACTAGTAAACAAATTCATAAAAACAATTACGACTACATATTAGTATGGAATACGATACCCAACATTAATTCTTTTAACTCTCTTCCTTTTCCCTCTCTATTTCTGTTCCACGCGACCTCCATAAAAGCTGACCAATTTGTTTCTTCCTCAACTCGAATTTTTGTTTCTTCTTCAGTTTCAAATTCTTCATTCCTCATCCTTCCTAACACAATTTGTGCTGGTCAGGAGAGCCCACGTTTCTTCCCTCAAAACTTTCAGTTGGCCGGTAAGTATTTTCTCGTGATCCCCTGCTTGATTTTCTTCATCTTTATATGATCTTTTTCTGGGTTTTTCTTGCTAGTTTTGGCTACCCTTTTAACCCATTCTTCCTTTTAGCATGCATACTTAAAGTGCCTGAGCATGTTTAATTGTCACAAAAATTATGTTGATGCGTTAAAAATGTGATCTTTGATGTCAAAAACGGTATGCTTTTGGTGCTCTAGTACGAAAGTATGAATGCAAGTTGATTAATTTGCGTGCACGTCGATGAAAGCAAAGAGGAATACGAAGTAAAATTGTAAGAATTCTTGGGCTAGTCGTTTGGTTTGAGCTGACTTTATGTGCAGGCAAAGAGAATTCTGGCTCCATTTGCAACAGTCGTTTTATTGACTTCAAACTGGAGGCTCGGAGGCGGGGGGAGAGAATACTTTTGGGGAGATATTGAATATAAAGTTGGGTCAGTGAAGCTAATGATGGTGGCTTGTTCTTGTAGGTATCGAGTTGTTGAATTGAGTTACATTGCGCCTAAAACCTGTAGTCTTTGTGTATGACTGTAATATTGACGTGATAGTCAATGTTAGCACATGTTCTAATTGGTTGCGTGATTAGTTACTTGTAGAGGGTATTGAGTGTAGAAACTCCGAGGGGTTCAGCACTGATATTAATGGTTGCTGTGAACTTTTGGATTTAAGCTTTTCTGGTTTTGTTAGTAAAATTCAAATAGCTTCAGAATTGATAGAGTATTTTCTAGGTTTACTGGTACAAAAAATGAAAGGGCACTATTACATGTGATTATGTGGGAGAGTTGCCTAGAAATTTAATTATACTGGAGATAGTGAACTTAATCTGCAATGATACGTGGATTATGCAACCAGATACTTTTTCTTTTCAATTTATTTTTTTCTTTTGCACCATTTGCAGGTTTTACCTTTCTTTCCTTCCTCCTACTCTCAAACTCCATAATCTACTGTAACCTGCTTCTGATGATTTCAGGTTTTGCTTAATCACCCTAAGTATACTTCACTTCCTGCTGCAGAGTGACTGCTGAAATCTTTTTAGGGAATTAGGGCAGCTAACTAAGTTTTCCATGTGACTATGAATTCAGAATCTCTATATATAAAGGGAAACTTTGGACGCAGGTTTTTATTTTGCTGAGTTACTTTGTAGTTGCACTAAACTAAGGCCTTTTCCACTGGCGTGGAACGGAACCAAGCCAGGTAATTTACAGTTTGTTGCTTCTTGCAGTGTGCTTCCCAAGAAACCAAATGAAACTATGAAGATTTTTGTTGCTGTATTCATTGGATCCCTTTTTGGATTCTTAGTTGGATTCTCTTTCCCATCACTTTCATTAACCAAGGTGCAGACTGTTTCTACCTTAATCTATTATTTTCAGTTCCCTTTCTCTCCCCACTCCCCTCATCTTCAGCTCTTTTGGGGCTTTTCTCGTTAGGTGTTTTCTGTTTAGTTTTGAATCCATGTTCATTCAGCAATTGTACTTGATAAATGTTCATTGTTGCTATTGGCAGCTAAATATCACATCCAGTCTTATTTGTGATTTTTCCAAAGTTGGGCACAAATTTAGTAGTAACTCTAGCCGAAATATCCGAGATGCTCTGCCTTCGCTGATTGGGAGCAGAAATAACTCCCTTCAAAGCCCAAACATGACCGATCTATTAAAGGTACTACTTGTCTTCCTAATCTTAGCATGATTAACAAGCCTAACAAAATGAAGTTCAAGCTCAAATATCACATTGGCTGTATACAAATTCTGAAGCCTGCGATCGTAATTTTAATGATGTTGCTTGATAACACCCTTTGCTAGATAAGTATGTAAAGCTTATGCATCTGAATATGTACTTGGAGAGCCTAATCTACCTACTTCATTGATCTCCATCTATGTAACGTGTGAAGGCAGATTTTTGAACGTGATTCTTTTATATTGCCGTATGACATTCATGCTTTAACTACCTCCTGTCTTCTGATTCAGATTTGGGTCCCCTCAAATCCAAGAGGTGCAGAAAGATTACCACCGCGCATTATTGCAAATGAGTCAGACTTCTTTCCTCGCAGGTTATGGGGCAAACCAAGCGAAGTAAGTTTTCAAATGTAAATACTGTTTAGGCGTAGAAATGTCTGGAATCTTAGAATATCTGAAATTCTGTGATATTAATCTGACATCTAAGCACATTTGTACTCATAGGACCTGACTCACAAACCAAAATATCTGGTCACCTTCACTGTTGGCCTAAACCAGAAGAACAACATTAATGCAGCTGTGAAAAAGGTGTGTAAACATTTCTCTTTAATCACTACCCTCTGCCTCTGTGGCTCTCTCTCTCTCTCTAATTGTGTTCTTTCTGACAGTTCTCAGAGAACTTTACCATCCTTTTGTTCCATTATGATGGCAAGACAAGTGAATGGGATGAGTTTGAGTGGTCTAAGCGGGCCATTCATGTCAGTGTTCATAAACAGACAAAATGGTAAGACAATGGTCGACGAATGAAGCACTTGCAAATTCTTTTTATATACTTCTATATGGTTTCTCTATATTAGGCTAACATCCTAAACGTCAATCTCAAACAAGGTGGTATGCAAAAAGATTTTTGCATCCAAGCATTGTTGCACCATATGATTACATATTTATATGGGATGAGGACCTCGGAGTTGAACATTTTGATGCTGAACAGTGAGTATCTGGTTCCACAATTCTTAGTCAAAGTGGTAGTAAAAGTTTACATGCTTGCCCACTTACACATGAGCTCTTTCCCAGATACATAAAACTTGTTAAGAAGCATGGTTTGGAAATTTCCCAGCCTGGTTTGGGCCCTAGTAATAAAGGCTTAACATGGCAGATGACAAAGAGAAGAGGTGATGAAGAAGTGCACAAGTAAGAGCGGAACAGCCACATATTATCTTTCTGTCCGGTCCTTGTTTAGGATAATGCTGATGTTTTTTAATCATCTAAAGGATATACATTCATCAATTTTTCTAATCTATAAGCCTTGTCCTTGATCCAGAGAAACAACAGAGAAACCAGGCTGGTGCAGTGATCCCCATCGCCCTCCCTGTGCAGCGTATGTATTTTATTCCTTTGTACTCATAATCACTCTCTTCTCACCTTGGTTTGAAGCTCACCTTAGTTTGAAGTTTATGCAACTGGATAATAGGACATATTTATCCTCTTCTGTCTACAGATTTGTGGAGATCATGGCTCCCGTTTTTTCTCGGGGTGCATGGCGCTGTGTGTGGCATATGATTCAGGTATTTTAATTATCATGATGGAGCATGCAGTCCAGATTCTGTAGTTGTTTTTTGAAACGTCCTTTTACTATACTGCTTAGCACTGCTGACCGCATAACTTATCGTCTTGATGTTGGTATATTGCAGAATGACCTGGTCCATGGTTGGGGCCTTGACTTTGCCCTCCAAAGATGTGTTGAGGTTTGTGCCGGATCTTTTACTTATTCTGATTGTGGACCATTCTGGAGCTAACTTCTTCAAAAAGTTGAAAATAATTTCTTTTCCTTTTTTAGCCTGCCCATGAGAAAATTGGTGTTGTGGACGCTCAGTGGATCGTTCATCAGTCTATTCCTTCACTTGGGAGCCAGGTTGTGCAATAAGCTTCTTTGGCAGTCCTTTACATAAAGATGCGACTGCATCAACGTGTGTCCTGGACTAACTGTTTTCCTTTTAAATCCCTTTTGCCAGGGTCAATCAGAGAATGGCAAAGCTCCGTGGCAAGGGGTACGAGAGAGGTGTAGAAAAGAATGGGCAATGTTTCAAAATAGGATGTCAAATGCAGAGAAAGCTTACTACCTGGGAAAGGGAATTGATCCTTCCAATTTCACATCTCATTAGAGGATGGCACAATTAACTTGTACAAAGAATACCATCCAATTTTTTAAGAGGAAAAGTTCTATATATATTTTTTATACGTATCTAGTTGTAGTTATAATTCTTTATAATGAAATTTTGTAGGGATCCACTCAAATATGCTCTTTCTCTTTCTCTCTCTCTGTCTTTCTTTCTTCTTTTTTTTTTTTCTGTAGAAATGTACATGTCATCAAACGGGAAAATTCAAGTATAAAAGACAGTTGTTATACGTGAATTCTACAAATTATGCAAATGCATGGACCACTGTAAGAGGAAACATACAACATGACATGGTGAAACATGATACGTGTAAAGCATAAATAGGGCATTCCTCAGCCGGATGGAAACTGATCCTTAGTCAAGATCTTAATATCAAAATATATCTAGCATCTTGTATTTTGGTCACTTGCTAAAATAGAGGCTTTTGAAATTCATGCCGTATATCATACTCTCCAGTATTGACCTTGGCCAAGATGTAACTTCTCTCTCTTTTTTCATCGTTCCTTTTACGTTATTTGGGTGTCAAATACTCAAAGTCCTGTCATTGGCTCTATCATGTGAGATTCCACAGAGAAAGAATGCCAAATCTCATACGTACATTAGTCGGTAAACTGAAGAACTTGTACAGTCAAGACAACGCATTCGTCTGGTCTATTGATGATCTTAACCCTTCAATTTCATGTTTTGAAGCAATCTGGAGAGCTAATTGCCTCCAACTATCATAAACCTGAGAAAAGAAACAAGAAACGGAAATAAGTTTCCTGAACACGCGTGTTAACTCAACAGCAAAATAAACTACTCGTAAATGCTTATGACTGATAGAATGGGAGTTTGAATCCCCGTTCTCTCTAGTTCGCCTAGTTTAAGAAGAGTTTCGGTTAGGAGCATGGGATTCAGGAATGAGTACCGAAATAAGTGACACCCGTATAGTTGGGGGAGTGGAGTAGAATTGATCCAACATATTTCACAAAGGGAAAAAAATGAAGAACGAAGCTCATTCCAATTCCAGAGCCAAACATGCAGAGGAAGGGGAGGATTTATTATGATTACCTTGGCAAATGGCGATAGGATTCCCGAATGGACCAAACGGCCTGTGTAACCTTTTGCTGCTCTATCCTGAATTATCTCAGCTTTTAGTCTAGCGTTCAAGTTTTTCTTAGTCTTTCCCATTTGTTGCTTGACGATTTTTTTTTCCCCATACAGATTCTACAGTGTTGGTTCTGGACAAGCCGCGTTTTATTCTTGAAACTGTGACTGCGATCCCGGGCTCACATCACTCATACTTTTGATCTCTCTGGGATTTCCTTGTGACTTTTAAGTATCCTTCGTTTTAACTCTCCGTTTTTCTATGCATAATTTTCATGTTTATACTCGTTGATATTCCATGACACTCGTATGAATGCGTTAAATTTATGATTTTTTGTCGTTGTTGAGCTTGCTTTTTCTGCCAATGGATGGAAGGATGAACGAAAGTTTATTTTATCTGCTTAAACATTCAGAGCAACAGAGGAAATAGCTAGTAGTATTATTAGGCTAGAATTTTTTTTCCTTTTACTGGTTTGAACTGCGTTCAGGTGGAGATAAAGGCATTCCGCTCTGATCTAAGTCCTGCTTTACCTTTAAACTAAGCAAGACAGAATGTTTCTTATAAGTTTTCTCCCTTATGAAACTTTAAAATTCAAGGGTCAGAACCTGAGCGGTATGTCATATGGACGGTTTGAATGTGGAGTAGAGTCAAACGAAGCTTGCTAGCTACCGGGTGGCTTGTCTTTGTAGGTATCAAGTTGTGAATAGAAACTAATTGTGCTTAAAAAAGTAGTCTTTGTTTGGATCGATGAATTCTTGCCGTGATTGTCAAAGATAGCACATGATCTGATTGCTTGCTTCATTAGTAACTGATGAGTTGCTTGTGGAGGGTGTTAAAGAGTGTGGAAACTCGTGGGTTCAGCCTTTACTGGTTTTTATTAGTAATCGTTTCTACTTAGCTTCAGCATATACTAGCACTTTTCTGGGCTTATTGGTATAAATGAACAAGACAATTCAGTAAGTGATCTTTATAGAAAAGCTTGAGCTCTTTTTCATCATATTTTTGGCTTTGAGATGTTGAGATTGTTTTCTTTTTGACATCTCAGTTTCAGTTCTGACGAGATTTCTGGAGATATTGAGTTGTGTTGGAGATAGATTCTGTTTTCTTTTGAAGCGACTGTGGAGATCTCAGCATTCTTTCCTCCTTTCAAGTCCTCTAATTCTGTTATCTACTATAACTTGCTTCTGATAGGTTCTGGTGCTTATTTGCCACAAGCAGAGACTGCCGCTACAAGCTGTTTTTGGCAATTATCCAGCCAATTCAATTTTTGATGTGTAAGATGGGAAATTCTGGACGGAGGTCTGTATTTTATGCAGTTACTCATTAGTTGGACCGAGTTACTTGCCAAAACTTGAGACTAAACCAGGCCTTTTCTTCAATAACTATTTGACTATTTCTTTACATTCCAGTTTGATTGTCAGAAGGCCAAACGAAACCATGATAATTCTAGTTGCTGTATTTGTTGGATCGGTTTTTGGGTTCTTAATTGGAGTCTCACTCCCAAAACTTTCATTTACCAAGGTTCAGAGTATTTCTACCTTTATCTTCCCCTCCCCCTTCTATAGTATCCTAGCCTGCATTTCTAGTAACAGCTTGCTTGCTTTGGTTGATTTCTTGATAGCTATGACCTGGTGCAATTTAGCAATTAAGATTGACAAATGGTTATTGTTGCAATTGGCAGCTAAATATCACATCCAGCCTTATTTGCGAATTTTCAGATGTTGGGAGCAAAATGAGAAGTAATTCTAGCCAAATCTGTGGAGATGCTTTGTCTCCCCTCATTGAGAGTGAAAACAATTCACATAGAAGTCAAAACATGAGTGATCTACAAAAGGTAAGCACTACTAATCTTCTAATTCTCAGCATGATTATATAGCCATAAAAGTTTGGCATTAGATGCCTAGCAATTCCCACAGTAATTTTTTTTTCTTGCTCCATTGCATAGTAGTTACCTTGAGGATTTGGCTAACGAAAAATCTTTTGCTCCTCTTCCATTCTCAAATTGTTAATGACTCCCTGCATGTTTGTGGAACAAATTGGGAGTGACACTGTGGTAGCCTATATTTTGTACCATAGCGCACTAAAAACGCATTTTCATTGCCTGCTCCAGCCTCCAACTACTTGATACACAATCTTCAAGTCCTCAGTTCAGCTTCAAAATAATAACCGATGATTTAAAAGACTTCAAAATTCCTATGTCATTTGTTGTTGCCCTTGCTGGAAATTCATTGATAGCTCCTGCATTTGAATATGTGATTGGACAATTCATACTGTCTACTTGACATGGGCGAGCGATTTTTGCAAATGGACATATTAAGACTACAACTGAACACTTTAGTTTAGTTTTTGACGACTCCTTCCCCGATTATCTGGTTCAGATGTGGGTCCCCTCAAATCCAAAAGGTGCAGAAACATTACCTCCAGGCATTCTCGCCATTGAGTCAGACTTCTTTCCTCGTAGGTTATCCGGCAAACCTAGTGAAGTAAGTGCTTTAATGCAAATCCACAGTACCCCATTCACTTTCCAACTCCTCTAACGACTTAGTCAGAAGACTTCGTGCTTTATTATGCGGTCTTTTCCCTTTAGCACATGAAAATGATAAACACGTAAACATGCATGAACGTTTTCTGCTAAGAAATCTTTCAATTCATCATTTCGCCATGTTTATGGTTAAAGAAAAGCATCTTAAAGAGTTTAACAGTAGTAGAAAGACAAAAACACTAGAGTCATTTACCACATTTAATCTGCGAATGAATTTGTGATCATAGGACCTAACCCACATACCGAAATATCTGGTGACCTTCACTGTCGGCTATGATCAGAAGAATAATATTGATGCAGCTGTGAAAAAGGTGTGTACATCTTTCTGCTTCCCCAGCCTCCATATGCCCCCTGTCTCAGAAATGTTTTCCTTTCTAATCGTGTCTTTCCCTACAGTTTTCAGATAACTTTACTGTACTTCTGTTCCATTATGATGGCAAAACAAGTGAATGGGATGAGTTTGAGTGGTCTAAGCGGGCTATTCATGTCAGTGTTCCTAAACAGACAAAATGGTAGAAAATGATTGACATATTAGCAGCTTCTAGCAAATAATTTTTCATGTACCTCTGTTTGGTTTTCTATAATTGGCTTATCTCTCAAACTTCAACTTCGTACAAGGTGGTATGCCAAAAGATTTTTGCACCCCAGTATTGTTGCACCCTATGAATACATATTTATATGGGATGAGGACCTTGGAGTTGAACATTTCAATGCCGAAGAGTAAGTATGTAATTTGTTGCGCGAAATCCCAGTCAGTGGATAGTAGTCCCGATAATTGATATGATGAGCTGTTTCCAGATATATAAAACTTGTTAAGAAGCATGGATTGGAAATTTCCCAGCCCGCTTTGGATCCTACCGGAGTTTTAACTTGGCAGCTGACCAAGAGAAGAGAGGATCGCGAAGTGCACAAGTAACAATTGGATTTTTTTTCGTTTATCTCCCTGTTGTCCAGTCCAATTCGTAATGCTGAAAATGCCAATGTTTTTTTATTATGTGAATGTTATATTACTATTGTCATGATCTCCCTTCTAATTGTTCTTGTCCTTTGATCAGAGAAACAACAGAGAGACCGGGATGGTGCTCTGATCCCCATCTCCCTCCGTGTGCAGCGTATGAATCAGTGCTTCTGTTTTTCTTATGGATTGCACTTCCCTTTTTTACCTGACGTTAGAATTATGTGCTTAGCGAAGATGACATTTTTGCAGATTTGTGGAAATCATGGCTCCCGTCTTTACTCGAGACGCATGGCGCTGCGTGTGGCATATGATTCAGGTATACGATCATTTTGGAGCTTCAAGTCCTTGGGTTTCTGTAATACTTTCTCCTGGATATTGGAGCAGACAAAGTCCTTAGCATCTCTGCTTTTGCTGACTGCATATTATACCATCTTTCCGCGGTGCGGGAATTTCAGAATGACCTGGTCCATGGTTGGGGCATTGATTTTGGGGTCCAAAAATGTCGAGGTTAGTGGTGCTCTTCACTTTTCAGTTACAACTTTGTTGACACTCCTGCTTGTTATTTTACTATGGAGCTACATTGCCTTCGCTACAATGAAAGTACATTGTTACGCTTTTTTGCAGCCTGCTCATGAGAAAATTGGAATTGTTGATGCTCAGTGGATTGTTCACCAATCCGTTCCTTCACTAGGGAACCAGGTATGTGTATATATATGTATATATATTGTTTGCAATCACCTCTATTTGATTCGACTTGTTCACCATGTAAACATGGAATAAATTTATCTTTCTCCCGGCTGTGTTTTTTTAGGGTGAGTCTGAGAATGGCCAAGCTGCTTGGAGAGGGGTAAGACTCCAAAGGCAAAACTTAAAAAAAGAAATTGCATTCTAGGATTTGTTTATAGTGTTGTTTTCAACTCCCAAGTCCAGTGAATGAATGCTAATACATGGCTGTTTTTGATGGTACAAGGTACGAGAGAGGTGTCAAAGAGAATGGTCCATGTTCTCGAGAAGGATGGAGAATGCGGAGAAAGCATACTACAAGGACAAAGGAATTGATCCTTCCAATGTCACAAAGTCGTGCCGAGGCTGCAGGGGTCGGCACTAAAGCAACAAGTCAAACAACTCTATTCATTAATACTCAACTTCTTCTTGTATTGCTATGCCTTATTCGCCAGCTGTTATTGATGCTACTATACCATTCGCTGGGTACTGAAATCAAGAACTTTCTGCAATTAATTTTAAGGTCCTGGCACTGAAAGTGCCATATGTAAGCATATTATTAGAAGAGAAAAAGGGTCCAGGATACGTGGTGGTCTCCTCTGACTTCCACTTCCTGAGTTCCTGATTCCAACTGCAAGCAAAAGAGCACCGAGTCTCGATCGGTACATAGATATAACTTGTCCGAAGGTGGGATTCTTGAATGCCATCGACTACTACTTAATTAATGTTGTACGGTGCTGAGCAAATTGCTTGCTTTCTTTGCCTTCAACAATCTCCGTTGAATTTCGTTTTCCGTTTCAACTAGTTATTTGAAATCATAATAATTTAAGGAAATAGAAAAGGGGAACATCTATGGGGGTGTTGTAACTTCCCTTGTCCGGCTCAAGGCACGATATCATTGCTACTGATTAACACAGTTGTGTCCATGCTGTTATTCGAGAATATGGTTAGATCTCTACTAGAAGTAGTAGCTGGTGCTACTTTAGGTTCAGAGGAAGATTCATCTCATGAAAGGTTTGAGGGTTCAAGAAGAGCAGGAAGAGTTTCCATTACCCGCTATGGATCTCTATGCAGAAACAGGTGCAAAAATGTTGCCAGAACCGACAACAGTGCTGGCTTCATCAGTGGTGGAAACATGTAGACTTTGATGGAGTGCTGTGTTTGCTAATGAGGTGGTGAGAAAGTTGTCCTGCAAGCATTTCTTCCACAAGGGTTGTTTGACAATCAGCATGCTTCTTGTCCTCTGTGTCGCTCAATATTATAAGTGGCTGGGGTATGAGAATTTAGCAACAAGAATATATGACAGGATACAATCAATTGCTTTTTGGCCCACAATTTCGTTATCTTCATACTTTTTTTGAGTTCGTCCTCTTTTCTTTCTTCAAGATTTTTGGGAGATTCATCAAGATCTGTTGCCTACTCGTGGCTTGTAGTTTTTCTTTCCTGTCATATCCATTGCTCTAACAGAAGAGAATTTCTTCCAGAAGCCAATCTATGGTTGCCCATACGCGACTGACTTGTTCTTTTGCATCACAATTGTGAAATGCTCTGTATTATTTAACGCAAGTTTTATTATCTGCTCAACTGAAAAATGGCAGTTTCATTTAACGGGAAAATAGACAATGAAAACCAATAAAAATCGATACTAGACGTTTATTATGATAGCTCACAATCACAGTAGCGCAACCAAAGCACAAATGGAATTTACGCTACTGAACAGTAATTCTATCAGGATGTGGCAAACTTGAAAGAGTAATGTTTACCACGCACTATTAACTAGACAGATCAGTAAAGAGGAAAGCAGGACATTCATCGATTTCTTTATTTAGCTTCTTCTTCTCCCAGTGAGCTGCTGAGGAAGGCAAGTAATTATACTGGTAATAATGATTTCAGTAACTGATGGAATTCGAGGACACCCATTTCAGGAATTTAAGCTTTTGGTGCTCCGCTTCAATGAATTCCTCGGCTTCCTCATTTACGCCTTCATCGTAAACTTTGTTGTTGCCATCTCTGGCGTACCCTCTGCCATAGGGACCATAAGCAGACCAGGCATCTTTTTCACCGCGGGATCCATTACCAGAGCTGGTGCGCTCCGACTCAGGGGCTCTCCAGGAATCCATGGTTCTCAACTTTTCACTTTCGGACCTGACTGCCTCAATTCCATGGGAGGTCATCTGAACACTAGAATACGGAGGAGCATCTGGAAGCTTATGAACCTGGGTGGCAACAGTGGGATTGGGATCGCGTTGATCGCGACCCTTGGCAGACCATGGACAGCTTGTTCCCTTCATTTGTTAGCGCTTCTTGATGTTTGGGCACTTCAATAACCAAGAATTAGAGCTTTCAGTAGATGCATAATAAGGGTTGCCGATGCATTGATTTTATACAGCATGCCTTGTCGTAAAAGTGCTGGAAATTAAGATAAGGTAGAATCTGATGCCCTTTTGGTTTGCCACGCTTTTGGTTAGGCATATTTCACGATCTAGTTACAGGTAAATATGCAAGAAGATTAACGAAGCTGCTCAGGGAGAAAGGGGTGCGTCATACGTGCCTCTGGTGAATCTTCTAAAGCATAAGTTGAAACTTTTGACGCTCGGGGGCTTCGAATTCTGGAAGTGGATACAAGCCTGCCACATGCAACTTGAAATATCAAGACAAAAAAAGGAATATAACATCGATCGCGTGATGATAACCCAAAGGAAGCACCGGTCGTTTAAAGTGCGCGCTATCGAAGTTTGACACAAACTCCTGCTGGATCAGTGGATCCTCCGCATTAAGATCTGGCCACGATTTTTAAAGAGGGAATATAACAAATCTGCCAATAAGTGAAGTTTAAATTTGAGGGATAAAATCAAAGAAACCAGAATATGAAGGACCAAATTATTCTCGGTAAAACACGAGGGGCAACATTGAGACCACGATCAAACGTAAGGGCAGAAATCTGAAATTCGCTATAAACTGATTTTTTTTCCTTTTTAACGGCTTGGCACAAAACTTTTAAAATTAACATCAACGAAAAATAGAAATTATGAACCCATTTTCCCACTTTCTCATAATCATAATTCCAAGCAATTTAATGTATCCATCACAATTTATTCCGTGTTTCCAATTCCATACAAACACGATTCTAGATTACCCAAGCAGCACGTTTCCAATTCCACCCTTACTTTCTTTCATTGTTGAACATGTTCATGTAATTTTAGCTCCTTCACTCCGTGGCTATTCTTGGGATGCAGCATCATCCCATAAAAATAAAAGGGCAAAATACACTTTACCCCTCCGTGATTTTAGCGCTTTTTCATATAATTTCCCTATGATTTTAAAAGTTATACATAACTCTCTCATGTTTTGGATTAAATGTTAAAATGATGGAATTTGCATTCTACAATGGAATCAACTAAAATGTCAAAAGTATCCCTATATAAAGTTAAAAATTATTTATTAAACACTGGGGATTATGTATCCATATATTTTGAAATTATTAGGAGGTTATATGATAAAACACTAAATCATAATGGGATTATATGGTAAAACATAAAATCATATGGGGTTAGAATGTCATACATATTATATTTATATATTTTGATCACTTCAACTATTTTAATTTTTAAATAAGAGTAATTTTGACATTTTCATGGATTCCGTTACAAATGATCATTGTCGTCACTTTGACACTTTAATCCAAACTACGAGCGAGGTTATATGTAGGTTTTGAAACTATACGAGATTTTGTGAAAATTCGCTAGAGATTTTGTGAAAATTCGCTAAATCACAGGGGATAAAAGTGTATTTTGCCCTAAAAAAACCCCAGCCCCCAACAAAAAAAGAAAAAGGTATTTTCCCCCTTCTTTTTGTCATTGACATTCTCTTTTCCTTCGAATTTGGCGAAAGCTTGAATTTTGAGTCGTAAATGTCGACTGACATATATGATATCCCTTTTACTTAGGCTGAATTTAGTAGTTTTATTTGTATGTCAATACATATTGAGCAAATGGATACATTTTGTAGTAGATAGATAGATGATCCGAGGTGTTATTTCAAAGGCTCCTTCAGATTGAACAAAGCCCGCATAATATGCATATCCAGGGATGATACAGTTAAGGACGATTCCCTAATTTAGTATTCCAAGACTTGGCAATCCACTGAGCAGCATTGGAGGGCCAGTTTTGTTGGTTCAGGTGCTGACAAGATGTTGGGTGACGAACACGACCCTCAGCGTAGTAGCTGGAGCTCACTGTTTCGTAAGTGTTGCTAGGTCCATTTGGATACCCTGCAGGATAACCATGACTGTCATGATGATCGTAGCCGTGGAGTTTGCCATGCAAGCCATCAGTCATGTGATGCTTGCCCCATTGAGTGCTTATCATAGCCATGGCTGTTGTAGTCATTGTACTTGTGGTGATTCCCATACCCATCACCATTAATGCTGTGCTGCTGCCCATAGCCCTGATAGCCAACCTCATGGTGATGAGGCGTGGCGATATTGGGATAAGGCTTCACCTGCTGCATGCTTGAACCACTGTTGTAATAGGCATTCTCGGAGCAGTAATCCTGTTGCTGTGCATAGCCATGCTTCGCGTAATAATCGTCCTGGTGCTGATAACCGTTCTTGTAGTACTCATCCCCATATGTGTTTGCATAACCGACTTGGGGATATGGTTGAGATTGGAGCACCATTTTTTCCCTTGACGAATTTTGAGTGCCTGTGGCGTGTGCTGCTGCTATTTATGGGTTAAAATCCCAGATTCTAATTAGATAAGAAAGGCATCCAATTCTATTTGGCAAGTGTACGTGTGTTGCTGTCCAGCACCCTTGACAGTGATTTCGCAATATAATACGATCGTGCGCGTTTAAAGATGTTCGACGTCTTTATTCCCAACTTCTGCGGACGAATTGAATTTGCTTTTGTCCCGTCCCTGTGAAAATTTGCCTTTAATTTTTTTAAAATTATTTGCTTAACCTTTAGTCATTTCAGAAAGAAAAAAAAAAGAAGAAAAGAATATAATCTCGGAAAATTTTATTAAATCTGGCATATAGTTTCACAATCCTTATTGTCCAAGTTGCAAAGGAATTTAACTATTGCGGCTGGTCTAGTGGTTAGGTATTTTTCCGCTGTCAAGGTTCAAATCCTGCCGATAGGGAAGGAAACAAAGAGATTTTTGAACGGGCTGTTTTAATTTTTTTCTATGATCCTGCCGCACTTGGGCTCCTTTTCACGGTCTCCCTGAAGATGAAGCTGTGAGTGATACTGATGTTACTTTCTGGTATTGTATAATCCACACCACAATGAGCTACGTAAGTAAAGTATTCTATAATCGTTGACATCACAGAAATCTTTCAGATGTAGAGCACAATATTGCCTGGATTGCGGGTACGTAAAAGAAGAAAAGTTTGGCTAATGTATGTTTACCTCTCATTTTGAGGCACTAATTGGATGATAGAATACACAACCCCTAAAAACCTTGTCAAGTTTGCCTTGGCTCGACTTACCTTGCCCTTTTGTGTATTTGTATTTCTGTACATTTCATTGCTTCTTCGCCTTTCATTCTCCGTATTCAGTTTCTAATTTCAGACAATTAACGTCCAAATATGAAGATCAAACTGACATTCAAGCCTAATACACCATAGTGCTTACGCTGGATTAAGTAGTTTTATTTGTGTGTTAAAGTTAATACATATGCGGCAAACTGATACACATTGCAGTAGGTGCTAGGTAGATAGATGATACCCCGGCATTATTTAAAAAGGTTGCTTCAGATAGAGCAAAGC